CATGGTGCTAAATGCACCATCTTTCTCAGTATGTCTACAATACGAAGATCCCCGTCCTGCCTTTATGGTCAGGCGGTAAGCCAAACATGAAGTCCAAACTGACCGAATTCCAAAAATCCGTTGGACTCGGCATGGGCTTCAGTAACGCACTGCTAGAAGGTGCAGGCTTTATGAGCTGACACTCTTCGCAAAAGAGAATATAGTTGGCCTCGCTCCGCTATAGGTGGGACCACCAAAAATTCCTCTGACACTCGTAAGAATGTCTTTCCACAGTTCAGATGCCCACGAGATGGCGCATCGTGGCACTCGTGAAGTATCATCAGCTTAAGATGTGTGTCATGAGGGACATAGATTCTCAAAGGATCACAGGTTGATAGCTGATGCCATAATAGGTCATTACTATAACTGAAGCGATTTGACTTCGCTTTGAGGTGAGACGGAAGGGTAACCTTTCGTCCGCTAAAATGATCTAACAGCAGGCGACAATGTTCGTTCTGACTGTAACACTCATTTATATCGGAGGCCAATGAGCTCGTCACATGGTAGCCCTTCATGGCTGCCAAAGTTGACGACTCAACTTGTGCTTTCGCACGAGACACACTTTACTGGTGTCTTGCCTCGAAGTCTGGTCTGCGCGAAATAGCGTTAGCCAAGAGATTCGGCTTACCCGGCTTTTTAAACTTTGAAATTAACTTCAGAGAAGAATGTTAGCCATCTCGCCATTCTCGGCGAGAGGTGCGGTGAATTTATAGCGGTCCGCAGTGATGCGTGATCCGTATATACCACAAAAGGTTCGGTGCCCAAGAGGTGCACCCGAAACTTTACAAGGGCATACTTAATTGAAAGTAGCTCCTTGTCATGCACAGGGTAATTCAGCTCGGCGGCTTTTAAAAGCCGAGACTGATACGAAATGACACGGTCAACGCCGTTGTCATCCTTCTGCATGAGCGCGCTGCCGATTGCAAAATTGCTTGCATCGCAGACGACGCTAAAAAGCTTATCCAAGACTGGCAATGCCAAGACCGGTTCCTCTACAAGATATTTCTTCACTGAAGTGAAAGCATCTTCTTGCTCCTTTGACCAAGTTCATTTTGTATCCTTTTTCGAAAGATCAGACAATGGCTTAGTCTGCTCCGCATCATTATTGCTGTACTTATGCAATAATTGGCGAGCCTAAGGAATTGGCACAGATCCTTCACATGACGTGGGACTGGCCATTCCTCTACAGCCTTTACCTTTTCTGGGTCTGCTCGTACACCATGTGCACCTACGATGCAGCTCAGTACAGGTATCTCGGGGGGCACTTTTGCAAGTTCACGTATAATTGGGCGTCACCCAGAGTTGGCAACACAGCGTCTAAACGACGCTTGTGCGACTCTATCGCGCTCAGACCGTCCTCCGCCCTACTATGCACGAATACATCGTCAAAGTAATGGGGCGCGTAGGCACGGTGCTGACGCATCACGTGAGCCACCACTCGGTTAAATGTTGCCGGAGCATTTTTCAGCCTATGCGGCATCACAAGCCGCTCCCACAGCATACCGCTTGGGGTGCTTGCTGCCGTTTTGGCTACATCAGTATCTATCATAAGAACTTGATTGTAGCCATCCTTCAGATCCAACGCGGAAAAGATAGTTGACTTTTCCCATGGAATTCAACAAGACATCTTTTCGCGGTATCGGCGTTTGAGCCATAATGGTGGCCATATTCAGCTTATTATAAGCATGAACCACGCGCCATACACCTGTTGATTTACACACACAGAAGGTCGGGCTGCAGTGAGGCGACTTGCTCTCACGTACATGTCCCGCCTTGGCTCGCTTGTCAAAGAACTTATAGATATAATCGACTTGTTCCTTCGGTAACGTCCACTGCCTTGTAACACAATACTTGGTGCCAGGCTCCAGGACAATCTCGTGCCTGATGCCCCTATCGGCCAGTAAGCGGCTCGGCACTTCTACTGGAAATACATCACGGTGTTTCCACAGAACATCATAGAACGGGCTTTCCTTTAAGGCTTCCCAGTCTTGAGCAGCAAACCGTTTCTTTTTGTCGGTCTCCAAGACGATCTCATCCATTGTGTACGACGAGCAACAGTCCCCCAAGTTCTCTTCTGGAACTGGTGCGACTATCTCGTGGATCTTTCCTTCCTTTAGTTCGGGCAGAAACAGATCTTACGTCATCTCCGAAAGATTTACGATCGCCTAGGCAGATGCCAAGACAAGTTGAAGCACCTTAACTGAGGATGTCTCCGGCATCTTGTCTTCGACGACCTCGAGCAACTTGTTCATAGGTCCGTCCTCTTGGACCGAGACTGATCCAAGGGTCACTCGTTTCGACGTGCCCTTGATCTTCTTAATACGTCTGGTGCTCGTTGTTCTAGTCACCACGACCTTTAACCTGGAAAAGGCGTCGTTGCAGTATTAGAACGCACTCCTTCCACCCGTGCCAGTCTCATGGCTCTGTGCCGGCTCTTGTGGCGCTTGACTTCCTGTCAGCCCACCATCAATTGCCACAGGCTCTCGGCTCTGTGCAGGACCATTGGACGCATGACTACTTGTCATCGTCCCATTCACTACATCAGTCTCCTGAAGCTGGGTATCACCTGACTTCCTGTCAGGGCACTTTCAACTACTCCAGGCTCAACGATCTGGGTAGTACCTGGTGCCGATTGACATACCGTCATCGCACCCTCGACTGTGTTAGACACAGCATCAATCGCATAAGCCTCTCGCAAGAGCACATCCTTTCTGGTGTCCTGCGTAGAATTAGCGAGTGTGTGTGTACGCCAGCCTGTCCATGATTGGTGTTTAGCCAACCAAGGCAGGCCTAGGATGAGGCCATACGGACTCTCCATACCTAGCACTGTGAACTTCTCTTTACAAGAGAAGTCACTGAAACTAAAGGCGAGTTCAACCTGAACTCCCTCCGATTTAACGAGCGCGCCGTTCGCTAAACGAACGATCTCCTCTTCTCGCTTGCCATCCTGGCAAAGCGACTCATAACCCGCCGGTCTCTTCTTCAGAGCCGCGAGTTTCACAAAGTTTTGTGATGCACCCGAATCCACGAGAAGGGTCATCACTTGGTCATAGCCTCGTACTCGAGCGCTATAGATCAAAAGGGTTGAGGTCCGACCTTTCGGTACCTCAGGTACTATGCTACCCATTTGTTCGATAAGGGGTAGCTTCAGAGTAGGGCATTCCGCCCCTACTGCGCTCCCGCATTTCCCGACCCATATTGGGCAGGTGTTGAACCCGTGCGTCGTGCGCGCTGCTTCTTCGCACCTCTCTTTAGTCACCAGATTCGAATTGTTAGTAACGTATTCTCACACCAAAAACTTAGCGATCCAATATCCTTTTTCGTCACGATAGTGGCATAGGCTGGCCTTCTGCATCTGCCCCCCCTTGCGCTTGCTTTGATTGCTAGCTGCGAACGCTTGAGGATGACTCTATCGTCGCCACGACCTTGGTCCTTGCGCTTCATGTCCTTTTTAAAGCCGACACGGCATGAGTTCCCACGCCGGCGGCTTGGCACGCACCTCCAACTTCGTAAATAAGCACTATTAAGACTCACTCAGTCTGACGAGAAGCGTGATCACCACGTCTTGTTACCAAGTGGGCGTTTAAGATAACGCGTTATGTGGACAAATCGATGAAGAAGCGCAAGGCGCGTTCTGTGGCTAAGAGCTTTCGAGGGAAGTATGGCATCGATTATGTTAAATGTTGTCGACGGTCGTCAAGTGTTCATCTCCGTATGCTCATTGCCATAATCAAGTATGTTGGAGACCTTGAGATGAGACAGCCTTGTGGGTAAAAGGCTTGTCATTGTGCTTTCCATTGTCAGCTCGTGTCTGCTTATAGATATCCAGCTACTAGTCGCAGTATACTTGCCTTGGCTAAGTATCGAGTAGTTCGACTGAACGAAATACGCTGGTAAGTCCTATAGGTACGGCTGGGGGAAGTTGATTGGAAGCAGACAAGCATTAAACTTTGATCTCGCTGTCTCTATTATGACCGTTTATTCTTGCGCATTAGATCGCAACCACATAATTTTCCAGCTGTGCATGAGCGTGGGCATAAATGCGGCTCTTGCTTATTCCAGAGATGCATTTGCAAGCTGGTGCAACCTGTAAAAGATATCAGTGCACTTAATGACGGCACGGGGCTTGAAGCGCAGAAGGTGGTCTATACTGAAGAGTGAAGGCAACTTGTATAGAAGAATAGATACTTCAAAGTGTATATATTTAGGTCCTTGGTTCGCGCTGTCTGCTATCTCTGCTTACTGCTACTGTTAGTACAAGAATACCTTGAACTTGCTACTTCAAGCAGTCATCACATTATGAACAGCTCCAACTCTTTTTAAAAGACATGAACAGCATTGGTACTAGTAACTTTCACTACAAGGCTGTTCATTGTGTTTTTAATGGAGATGGAAGCCCTTAAATATTATCGACTCCCTATGTTTATAGCAAAAGGAGGTGCAAAACATTGTGACCAATCAGATATCAATAATTTAACAAGGTGGGTTTATAATTAGCAAGATAATTAGCGCTCCCTAAAATATCGTTTAGGTTGAACTGATAAATTAAAAATAAGTGGCGCACATCACACAATTTGGTCTGCCTGTCCATCGAGCTTGATGCTTGACCCGTTTGACAAAAATTAGAAAGGAGAGAATTTAATCAGGCTCGAATTGACGTTGAAGTAATTTGAAATTAGATCCCTAGCGCGTCTAAAAAAAGGTGTGCGCAATGGAGACAGGTCTATTAATTAATTTGATTCTAAATTCTAAATCTAAAAGCGGACGGTATCAGTGTACCACGTTATCATAACGAGTACGTGCGCCTTGTTCATCCATTTAGATCGAAGTAGCCTTATGAGCCAAGATCAGTGAAGCGGTCTATAAAACTGTTGTAGTAACAGACCATGAAGTCAAACGCATTGATTCGCCTGTCACAATCAAAAACGCTTTCAACTTAGAAGACTTAAAAAAATATCGCTATGGTAAAGGAAGCTTTCACCACCAATCCGTATCCAGACCTTATCCTCTCGGATGCGGACCGAGAAGAGCTACTGCAGCTAGAAAGTGACTTGATCCTCGAAGTCTTTCCCAAGTATGAAGCGTTCGTAGTCAAAGACAAGCGGAAGGTCAAACACACCCAATGGAAAACGATCGGTGATGATAAGAATTTACACGTCTACGTTGAGCGCAAAGGATGGAGTGAAAGCTCTATAAGTGACGACCCTATCACTGAAGAACCTAAGGACTATTGGCAGAAGCACATTCCAATCATTCTCGCAGTGGGGACGTTCGAAGGAGAGTTGAACGATCTCATGTTCGGTACTGTCAACCCGAGTCAAGAGATTATGCGCATTAAAGCCTCGTACGTGAAAGATTATAGCGATGGCGCTGTTTTGGCCAACATCGTGATGCCAACTACTGAAAATCCATTCCGTTCCGTGTCCGTCAAATGGACACAAATCAACTTGCCTCTCAATCAGACTGGCCTGATCCAAAACCGAGACTTTATTTGCCTTGAGGCAACAGGTATCCTTCACTTTGCAAACGGAGACCGTGTTGGCTACCAGCTTCTTCACTCTATCGACTTCCCAAACACGCAGCCATTACCTGGAACCATTCGTGCCAGACACAGGATCATTGGTTTCTACCGGCAAGTTAGTCATAACGTCATCGACACATTTGCCTTCGACACCGTGCATCCAGGTGGCAAAGTTTTTCGGTCTGTCGCTCTAGAAGCTTCCGCTAAGGCTCTTCTTTCCACGACAAACTACGTGGTATGTGGTCAAGCCAAGAAATTGACATGGAGACTTCAGCATCGACAGGCAGAGACGCGGCTGACTCGACACCGAAGCAGCACTCGAACACTTGTTGGTGATAATTCGTGTGGCGTATGTGCGCAAAATCTTGCACCAGGTCGTTTTGGATTCCCAAGGGTGGGTGCTCTAGGTAAAAGTGTTTGTAAGCTTTGTATGAATCCTGTGTGTCACAAGTGCAAACGACCCAGGGGGATCAGCTTCCTCACCCCAAACGGAAAACTTTTGCGGCACAAAATCGCTTTTTGTGTCATGTGCGTGAGCGAAGTCACGCACTTGGACGCATTGTTCGCTGCGCGAGATCAAGCGGAAGGATACTTAGCCTACAACGCGATGGCATCCCTCTCTGGATCTAATATCCTATCGGACGACCTCAATGTTTGATTGATTCAAATTGGAATTACGTTCCAATGATGTTCATCTGTAAGTATATATCGTACGTGAAGCTTCTTAAGCGTAATTTTTTGTGCCACAAAGACATTTTAAGTATCTTGCGAAGATAGCGGGCCACGGACCACTCGTAGACAAGAGAAATCGATGCTTTCTTGTCGCGTACCCGTGCACTTTACTCTTTGAAACGCGCGTAGCTAGATTTTGTAGTATACAGTCAATATCAAGACACCTACCACGGTGGAATCGGCCACCCTGACGTCGTTCTGGGAGGTTATACTCAACATAAACCGCAATACAGTCAATTAGCGGCATAATTTTGAAACGTTGACGCTAGGATTACGAAGCCGACTGCTTAACTTTCCACTTTGCATCCAGGAGAGGATAGATGGTGTAGTATGTACACGTAAAGGGATGCGTGACGCGCCTCCTTGATTGCTAAGTGCAAGCTGAAGCAACATGTGTTCACTTTGCTATCTGGACTAAAGTTTACGGGACTGCTAATATCGTATAGGACTTGTAAAGCCTTTATGGCTTTCTTATAGCGATGCGCAGCGTGCTAAGCAAGAAACTGGCGATTAAACACACGCCGTGAGCAAAAAGTACTGAATTGATCAAGCCGCAGCAGTTCGCGTTGAAGTCTGCGCAATGAACTATCCGCTAGGTGGTTGTATGTATGCACCCACTCACCCCAATTCACAAATTCGATGTTTGCGTCTTTTAAATTATCGAAGGGTAGTTTAATATAAGCGCACGGAGCCTTTATGTCGCTACCACTCATCTCCGTGATTGGTAAGCTTCGGGATTTGAGAGCTGATCGTTCTCGGAATTGGTAGAGTATCTACTGTACTACTAGGATGAACGGTATCAGCCAAAGTTCGATAGAACAGTGTTCTATCGAAATTTGGCTGATAGACTGTTCTTAAAACAGTTCTTAGAACAGTCTAATCGTACAACAACAGCGTGTGTTCTTTGCACGAGAAGGCCAGCATGGCTAGCACAAAAGAACAATGAAATATCACATACAAATCCGCCAGATAGGTTGTGTCATGCGTATTTAGTAGCATATTTTTAAACATGATTACGACAAGTAACTGTACTATCGAGTCACCGGCTAGTCATGGAGAGAGGTCGTCAGTGATCAAACACTCTTTTTCCAGCAGCGCTCAACTGATCGATATTGTGCTTTTACGCTGATCATCGACATACAATTCTAATGGTTTTGCAAAACAGAAGAACTTGCCTAAAGTAATACCCCTTGCAACGGAAGGTATCTATCATTATGACAAGTTATCAGCTAAAGCAGTATAATTTAGGCCGCTTCTACTCTATTGGGTCGTGAAATTATTTAATAAGTTATAAGTTGTGTGTAGTATCGATTTCGGCAAGTTTTTTTGTCCAGGAAGCTTAACAGTACGAGTCACACCAAAGAGCTATTTTAATAATATCGAGTAGGGTCCGCTCACATAGCCATTTGACATACCATCTACATTAAGCTTACGGGCCGACCTCCAGGCTGAAGGGGGCCATTTACATTCCCGCATCTTTGATACTGGTGACATAGAAATTGGAACTCAGAAAGAAGTATCACAAGATTTTGATGCCACCCGAACTGGCGAAAGGCAATAAAATGGAAATTATTGTTGCTGCTCGCTGTAGGGTCATCAGTAAAGTCATAGCAAATGGGTTAGAGTGTACATTGGGCGCTTGGACTAAATCATTTGCCCAGAAAGCTGGTACTTTGAGTAACATACCATATGCTACTCATGCACCATTCTTGGACGGCTATACTAGTTGTCTGCAGCCAGCTTGCGTTCGAAGATACACTTGATATTTTTTAGAACATTCCGGCCATCATGACGATATATATTGTTGCTCAATAGTAGCCAGCGGACCTTAGACTGAGATTTTCTTTCTTCCTGACGTTACCAGAAAGTGAGCACAAATTCTGCTATTGAAAGGAAGCACTCGCACTCATACGAAGCTGGACTAATATTTGCGGCGTCAACGTAGTGAACGCTTCACACCTTTTGCTTTGGTATCGTGTTTAAGTCCTAGCTTATCATTAACGACACAAGTAATATCTAGCAAGAAATGATGAACATTATGGCAACATCACTGTAAAAGGAAAAGTCACAGGGATCATCGACATGTGGTCAAAGAGGAGTTAAATGGGCGGATAGATGAGATAAACGATAGAAACCAACGTGTAATAATCGATAAGAGTGTATGTGTGTAAACACAACAAAGCAAAATAGTCAAGAATTTCGCTGAGAAGCGCCAAATTTAGATCATTTATATTGTTACTTATATGTAACATGTAGCAAGTCTAGTACTCAGAGACTATACTAGCAGAACTGATGTCGTCCATTGATACTAACGAGTTCATCCCTAAGTCCTTTTGCTCTCGAAAATCTGTTTCACTGGCTAGCATTTGAGCACGAACAACATCGACCGAACTCATAGTCGTCACCTCGCTGATGCACGACGTGCAGAATGTCACTTTGCGCTTCGATAAAAGCAAATCGGGGTCAACAAAGCTTAACTTATGAGTAATTTTGCAGCTGTGACACACGAACCCAAAGCATAGTTTACACGTATGTTTGCTGTTGCCAAAATCCCCAAGCCTTCGACCAGTGATTGGAGACAAGCAAGTCACACACACGTTCTTCTTGTGGGGTGCACCGTTTAGCTTAAATTCGGCGTACTTCTTGTCCAACATGAATGTCAGTTTCTTCATTTGGCCACAGCAGGCATACTTCAAGGTACAAAAGAAAACACTTGCTATGGTGGAAACTGCAATCCTTTTGGCCATAGCACCCCCTGGATCCATGACGGCAGTACCGAAAAATTCTATGGTGTTAGGTCCGACCTGCCGCCAAAATGCCATCGACGACATGTTGCCACGGACTCGATTGGGAAGATCCGGCGTCTTGGGGAAATGCACCGAGTGTATGAGGTGATACGCCACCCGTTCACCGTTCTTTGTGCGTACGAAGCCTGTTGCATCAATGTAGACGTAGTCACGATTCTTAATGAGACTTGTTGAGATGAATGGGATGTCGACTTCCATCCACTTGACAACCAAAGCTTGAAAAGGATCCTCTAGGGTTGGTTGGACAATGGTATCGAGAACGGCGGCACCACTAAAGTCGTTTACGTACGAGGCCTTAACACGCATCAACTCGAGCGTCGGACTCACGAGGCCATACATAAGATCGTCGAGTTTACCCTCCTCGTAACCAATGCCCCGAAATAACGGCATGTTCTCACTAAATGAGGCAGATCCTTGTCGCTCGACGTACATCTTGATTCCTTGACGCTTTCTACACAGCTTCCACTGGCGAACATCTACTCCTTTCGTCTTTTCGTCCTGGTGTGACATGTACTTCTCGAGATTCGACATGATTAGAGTGTTTGCCAATTCCTGAAGTTGCTCGTGATCATTACCAGAGAGAGCTAGCTCCGCGAACGGGTTCACGATAAAGCGCCCTTTCGCCATTACTGTTTAGTCGACTTGCCAAGAAACAAGTGAGTCAAGAACTGAAAGTCTCGTGTTATTTATCATCACCGATAAGACGGAAGTTTTTTTCACTTCTGATCCATTTGCAAGACGACATCTATTTTTATGCGTTTGTAACTGACACGAGCACGAAGAATGTGGACTCGGTCCTTAAACGATACAGGCGCTACAAATTGTAAGATGGTCGAAAGCATACTGATGAAGCTTGATGCGTCAGCAAAAAAGTTATGGTTTAGTGATAACGACCACGTTTACTTATTGCTATGTACTTCATTCAAACCATACCATCAGCTTTTACTTGCACATGCTTATTCCTCGCTGTTGTCTTCGGATGACATTGTTCGAACAACACTTGAGCGATACACCGAACCGTGTTTAAGTATCCGCGCATGAGCACAGTCTACAGCGCTCATGATTGTAGCTAAGCTGATGCATACCGTGCAGAAAGTTACTCGGCGCTGTGACAAAAGTAGATCCGGGTCAACAAAGCTCAGCTTACGGACGGTCTTGCACGCATGACACACAAACCCGAAGCAAATCTTACACGTGCTGTTGCTCTTGCCAAAATCTCCCAGCTTTCGGCCAGAGATTGGCAACGAGCACGTGACACAAATGCTCTTTTTGTTGGGTGCGCCATGCAACTTGGAATCCGTATATGCTTTCTCAAGCATGAACGAAAGCTTCCTCATCTGTCCGCAGTAGACGTACTTTAGAGCGGAGAGAAACACGTTGGCCATGTTCGGTACCACGAGCTTGCGGACGAGGCCTGCGTCAACAGGGTCCATTACCCCGGTAGCATACATTTCCATCGTGTTAGTCCCGATCTGGCGCCAGAAGCCGATAATGGAAAGGTTGCCACGAACGCGGTTCGGTAATCTGTGAGCTTGTGGAAAGTCTACCGAGTGCAGAAGATGATATCCCATACGCTCGCCTTTTGAGTTAGTGACGTACCCTGTGCCCTCAAGGTATACATAATCACGATTCTTGACCAAACTCGTCGAGCTCAATGGAATATCGAGCTCCATCCACTTGATTGTCAGCGACTGGAATGGTTCTTCCAGTGTCGGAAGGACTACGGAATCAAGCACAGCTGCTCCACTGATGTCGCCAACGTACGAAGCCTTGACGCGCATTGTTTCGAGGTCTTCACTGATGACACCGAACAAAAGGTCTTCCAGTTTGCCCTCCATTTTTCCAACGCACAGAAGCATGGGAAGTCCTAACCCGGTCGCTTCGTTACCAGAAGCTGCTGCAGCGGCCGCACCCTCAGGTCGTTCCTTGTACACCTTGAGCTTTTCTTTCTCCTTTATCAGTTTCCAGTGGCATGAGTCCACGTTTCGTTTTGATCCCGACATGTACTTCATGCACAGCTCGAGATTGGTCAGGATGCTTCGGTTGGCCAGGTCTTCGAGCGAGGCGCGGTCATTTGAAGTCAGACTGAGTCCCTGAAAGGGGTTCACAATGAATCGCCCCTTCATGATGATCGAAGCTGAAGTGGAAGTGCGGATGCTGAGCAAGCATCGAAATGAAGTGAGCAGCGATCGATACAGGTACGACGACAATATAGGGAGAACAACCGGCACCTATACATCCCAGCTGTAGCTGATGGCTGTTTGACATGTGCAACGGTTGAAACCGACTCGTGACAACTTATGCCCAAGTCTCAAGTGTCAGCTTGACCTCTTCCTATCTCTGTGCAAGCCCATCCATTCAAACCCAAGTAGAGATGATTTGTAGATGTTTATAGCATTTGCGTTAACCAGTAGGGCCATTCTAAGATGGGGAAAGTAATGACCAGTCCGAGTGCTCGTGTTGCTCCATCATGGTGAACAAATACATCGATTGTTGCTTGTTTAACATACGGCATCGATCTACTCTATGATGTGATTGATACGTCTGAAGGTGCGTGAAGGAAGTGTAAGACCTCAAATTTTTCGCTTTCTCATAACTGTTGCATTTAACCTCGAATAGTCTACCGAAAGATTAAGCGCTAGCATGCCTCAGTAGATGCAAGATCGGCTAAATGGCCACACACGTTTTTAAGACTTTCTCTAAAAAGCCGTCCTTTAACGGCATGTCTCTGCTGGTTCTCGTAACAAGGAATTCAGCCTTCGTATCCGCGTTGCTTAAGCATCCCGCACTGTTCGCAAGCTGCTCCCACTTGATAAAGTCTTGTAAATAGCCTCATTCCTCGATAAACTAGAGCCTAGGCAATTTTTAATGGGAATAGATTCAATATATGCACTCGCGTCCTGGTGAAACATCGGCACTCCCAGCACTCGTAGAATTGGTCAGTGCAGATTATCAATCTCACACGAACCAGGAATAATGAGTTTAGTCATGGGTAATCTCGATCGTGCGTACATGACCACCCACTTGTCATTAAACCAGTGCAAGCAAAACACACTTGGAAGCCGAAAGTTGCAAGCAAAAATACGCTTAGAAGCCGAAAGTTGGAGCCCTTACGCTCATCGCCTCGTGTCGTAAATCAACTTTAATGATCCTTGGGCTTGAACAGCAGGGTACCGGTGGCATCATGCAAAACAATAAGCTGGTAGTGGGGCTTGGCTACGTGAGAAGCTGACAGATGTGGTGTCAAGTCGTTCTGATGTGGTAAAGAAATAAATTGTTGATGTTGGGGGATTCGTAAATGAGATACATCTACTACCCTACATTGATCGTCTATACGCGCGACGTTGCGATTTAAGTAGGACAATGCATCCATCTAGCTTTCTCAAAAAATAGAAAGCGACGGTCATGAATGCCTATATAAAAGTCACCAAACTTCAACACCATAGAGAACTTGTAAAGCGTCATTGTGTGGGCTGCGTATATGTCTAACAACTCGAGACTCTCTCATTGCATCTACTAAGAAGTACTGGGATGACGTCACATCAGCAAACACCAAAGGCTGTTTGTTAATCGTGATGCCGGCGAGGTGTGTAGCATCCTAGGCTTCACAAAGCAAAGACGGGTGATAACAATGAGATGAGATTGGCTGGCACTTCAGCTGTCGCCTCACATGTGTAAGTCATAGCTGATATTTGAGACCGAACCCAATACTGGGGCTGCTAAAACGCGGTAAGCTTTGCCACCAGTCGATAAAGTCAATACTATGGTTCTTGTAGACGACGAGAGCGCGTTGTTTGTGCTCAAAACGGAGGTGGTGAGCGCGTTATTGAACGGTATTGTCCAAATGCTAGCAAAGTTTTCCCACTAGTTGCAACTGTTTGAACGTATCTGATGCTGCGTCGGTGTAACGGGGTTACACGGCGGTTGTAACATTATATTGAAAGAACATTACGGTTGACGTTTCTATATTGCATGTATTATGCATTCTTAATACCGATCATTTTTCAAAAGGGGTATTAAATATATGAGTGATAGTATAAGGTATTAGTTATACCTTATACTATCGGTATCGGTGTCATAATTGATACAGTAGTCAAAGTACAACAGACACTGATAATTGAATGATTCCATATCCAGATACAAACAATGACATATTATAATTACTATAATAGTAGTTACTGTAGTGTAGAGTATTTAGAGTAGGATTATTTACAATATCTTATCAGTTCTGATTTTGAGTTGAAGATCACAAGCCTCGATAGGACTTGTTCTCTTGTGCACTTCGTGCGTAGGTTCTGTGGACCTTTAAGCGTCTAGATTGTTCTTGCACTCTGTGCGTTGGTTATATGAACCTTAAGATATTGCTTGTAGATTAGAAGTTTCTCCTAGTTCCGTAGAACGGGTAGACTTCGTAGTCGTTTAATTAGTTCCTTAGAACTAAGTGGCTTATAGACGAAACTATAATTAGTTCTATAGAACTAACAGGCTTTTAGTCTAAAAGTCTTCCTCGGGCTAAAGAGCTGTGTAGCTCCGCTACACTTGGTAGCACTTGTAGTCACTCCTACACCTGAGTCTCTAAGACGGACCCTCTGTGAGGATGGAGAATCAAAATCACCTTTCTGAGGCGCAACGACTGGGTCGAACACACATCCCAGCCATGCTAAAGGGGGGAAAGCTGAGTTTCAAGCTGCAGAGCAGCAATTAACATACGTAGATGTTACATGTGCGGAAGCACTAGGCACCTCCGCCCTAGCTGTCCGTTGCGAAAGCAACGTCAGAATCGGCAGAGCTGTAACCCTGCTCCAGCCAAAAGGCGAGCACGGCAGGGGAAACGTCAGCTCCCAGTAGTCCTTAAAAAACAAAGGCGGCACTTACTGCATGTAGTGATCATCTATCTTGAAAAAACCTTCGGATCCCTGCTAGATTTTTGTTTAGGAACTTCAGGAGGTAGGGTGCTATGATCCACCGTCTTTTCTACCTCCTGATAGAGGTGTACGTCATGAGATTGACTTCGTTCCTGGAACCAAATACTGCGTAATACGGCAGTGGCCTTTACCGAAAGAATAGTGTGACGTCATTGATGAGTTCTTTTGTGCAAAGTACGTGGCGGGTACGGTGCGCGAGAGCAAATATCCTCACTCGACACCTACTTTTTGTGTCAAGAAACCCAATGGTAAGTGGCATATTGTTTATGCTTATAGTAAGCTCAATGCAGCCACTATACCTGCGCAGACGACAATTCCTAGAAAGGATTTTCTTCAAAACAATATGATCGGTTGTACCATGTACAGTGCACTCGACTTAGTCGATGGTTATTACCAATTGCTCATGCGAGCTATCAATATTCTGCTCACCGCGATTAGTAATCCGAGCGGTATGCTCTGGGAGCGGTTGGTTATGCCCAGGGGCTGTAGAATGCTCCGGAGACGTTGTAACAGTTTGTAACGCACTTGTTTCGACCCCCTCGAGGCCATGAACAAACTTATGTCGATGACATTTTTGACCATAGTCGTGCTGAACATGGGCTGTCGGATACTGAGAACCATATGGTTTTTTAAGAGCTGTGCTCCAGTGCATGCGCACTAATAACCTGTATGCTAATGCATATAAGTGCATCTTCGTTGCCGAAGAAATTCCATTTTTAGGGTGCTTCATTGGGAAGTGAGGCCTCAGAGCGGACCCCTCTAAGGTCAAAGCCATAATTGAGTGGCCCGTTCCACAGTCCCAGAAGGACTTACGAAAGTGGCTTGGCCTTGCCAATTACTTGCATAAGTACAGCGATAATTACGATAATATGGCTCGACCATTATTCAATCTCCTAAAGAAGGATGTGGAACGGCGTTGGCATGCCGACAACGAGGACGCTTTTCAAGCGGTGAAGGCTAGCCTTCTTCAAGCTCCTATTTTGCTTTTCCAGACCCTGACCGACCGTTTAGCGTCGTATGGGACGCGTCGAATTTTTCCATTGGCAGTGCTCTGTTGCAAACTGACGATGAAGGGCGTGAGCGTGTTTTCGTCTTCGAGCCTCGCCATCTGAAAGCTGCAGAAAAGAACCATCCAGTTCATGAAAAGAGATACTTGCAATTAAGTATGCTCTTGTCAAATATAGATTTCAGCTTCTTGGCTCGAAGCCTTTTGTGAACTTTACCGATCCTGCGCCTTTACGCACTACGACTCAGTTACCTCATCTCTCGCAGAGAATGGCCTGATGGCTTTCATTCTTTTGATATATATATAGCTTCGAGGTGAAGTATAAGCCTGGAAAGCAAAATGCTTTGGCTGATGCGTTATCACGCCGACATTACTATGGCATGCTCATGTCACAACGTTGTCGTCTTCGATCACCGATCTCATTAGTACGGCGTATGCTAAAGATGATCACTGTATAGCGTTGCTACATGCTCTTGGCAGTGAGGAGTTTAAAGACTCGGACACTAAATTGTCGGCACGATTACGTGCGAGCCTTCATCGATATCCGTGCCGATATCCTTTCGATCAGGGGATGTTGTACTATTGTAAGTATGCGAAGAATCCACCGCGCATTGTGTTTCCTCATGATGAGGACTTAAAGTATCGAATTCTCTATGAGGCACATGACACCGCCATCAGTGGTCATTTGGGTCGTGAAAAGACCTATGGTTCAGTATGTCAACGTTAGTGGTGGCCCAAACTGTATAAATGGGTGAGCACATATGTGCGTACGAGTGTAAAGTTTTAACGGGTGAAATGCTCACCCCATTCGGCGGCTCCTTTGGCTAGTTTGCCTGTCCTCACTGGATGTTAAGATCCATTAGTATGGATTTTGTGTTTGGCCTACCGAAATATACGCACGGCAACACAGGTATTGTGGTCTTTGTTGAACGTTTGAAAAAGATGGATTACTTAGCGGCTGTGCCGGATTTGATTGATGGTGAAGGCACAGCGCAGATGTTTATTGATCGAGTGTTTCGCTAACATGGCTTTTCTGTGGCAATTTTTTCTGGCCGTGGTTCTCGTTTTACGGGTAAATTTGGAAGTCCGTCTTCCAGGTGCTAGGCATTCGATTGGACGTTTCCACAGCGGATCATCCGCAGACCGATGGTCAAACTAAACATGTTAATCTCGTCGTTAGGATATCCTCCGCAGC